GCGTCCCGGACCCGGTGGCTTAAAACTCACGCCGCGCCCGTGTGCGTACGTGCCCAAGATCCCGAGAGGAGAATGGAGAAGGGATTGTGGCGTGACCATCCCCCCTGGGGGGTGAGTTCTCGCTTTCTGTCTCTATGTCTCTCTCTGCCTGTCTGGCGAGCGCACGCGCCCTATAGCGAAAAAACCTCTAAAAAAAAAAAAAAAGAAAAAAAAGAAAAAGAATTGTTGTATTTTATTTAACTTTATTTATTTAAATTTGATGTAAGAGGGCCAAAGTGAGAGAGAGAGGGAGGGCTGGCCACCTGTATGTTATTTTCTAATTGGGATATTGCTGGACTGGGTAGGGAAACTGCCTGCCAGCCCACTGTGCTCTATCAAAGCATATTTTGTTTCTTAGCTGTCTCCCTGCAACTACCACCTACAGATCTGGGTTCTGCCCTGTGGGGTGAGATGGAGTGGAACTGCACCCCCGCAGGACAGACTGCTAATCATGTGTCCCATCACTCTTCCTCTGTCCTGACTAAATATCCTCAAATGACAGGATAAACAGTATGTGGGAAAGAGGCAAATGACAGTGGTGAGGAGGGTGGCTCCAGGGCAGGGAAGATTAAAGAGGGGGACCTTCACGGGCAGCCCCAGGTTAAGGAGACAGGCTAAGCGAGCACGGCAGTCCGTGCCATGAAGAGGACGCCAGACCCCACACGGCTGACCAGCGTCAATCTCAGCACCGGCAGCTTCAAAACATGTTGGAGTGGGGCAGGCACGAGCCCCGTGGCCTAGTTGTTAAGGAGATCCCACACAGTCAAAGCCACACCCCACATGCCAATGGCACAGTCCAAACCCCAGGCCAGAGGCTTGAAAAACATTGCAGGTGTGTGTGTGTGTGTGTGTGTGTATGTGTGTGTGTGTGTATACACGTCCGTGTGCCCACAGGATGGAGAAATGGAGGAGTGTGACGTGACCACACCTCACTGTGGTGCTTTCTTTCTCTCCTCTTTGGCAAGTGCACACACCTCCACGTGCTTTCTCACCCCTTCTGTCTCTCTGGTGAGTGTTCACACCCTCTGGCAAATTAAAAAAATAAAAGAGGAGCCAATTGGTGGCATGGAGGTAGAAGTGGCTGGGTCCCATATGGTCTATATGTGATTCAAGTCCCAGATGCAGTGGCTTTGAAAACACACTGGGTGCATGTGTGTGCATGCCCAAAATCCTGAGAGGAGAATGAAGAGCTTGTGGTATAGTCATCCCCCCGAGGGGCTGATTCCTCAAACTCTCCCCACTGCCATCTCTCTCCATCAAGTATAGAAGCCCTATAGCAAATTAAACACACACACACACCAGCAGATGGTGCTGCAGTGGTTACGTCGCTGGACTCCCACATAGTTGACAACAGTGGCTTAAAATTCATGCCAGGTGCACGTGTGTGTGTGCCCCAAATCCTCTGAGGGTGATTTCTCACTTTTTGTCTCTATCTGTCTCTGTCTCTCAGGTGGGCACACAAACCCCATAGCCAAAATCTCTCTAAACACACACACACACACACACACACACACACACACATACACAAAGAGAAGGGCAGATGGTTTGGAAGGAACTCAGTTTTGGACTTACTGACCCTGAGACTGCAATGGAGCTAAGGTGAGAGGTCTGTCCTAGAGACCAGCATGCCTCCAATTTTTTCCCACAGTGAGAAATCTGTTTTCCCCGGCAGGCCAGTTCAAACACAAACACATGTGACAGCTATAAAACAGACATAGGATCATTAAACTCCTGCAGACGTCTGCAAGTTCAGGCCTGGAATCCTGGTGAGAGAGAGAGGAAAGGGCTGGGTGTGTGACCAGCACATAGATTTGATAGATTAAGTCATGAGTACTAACAGCTTCCTTCCCTGAGCTGTCTGAGGGCCTGTGGTCTTAGATGTGGCAACTAACACCCTGTCAGGAAATCAATTAGCCAGCTACCTCCACCTTCAACCCCATGTCCCAGAGGGCTCCAGGGGGAGATTTCAGCAAGGCCACACGTTAGAGCCCACGAAGCAGGTCTCACTGCCAACCCACTAAGCATGCTAAGCTAGAAATCTCTCACCTTCAAGAGATATCTCCTTTACTCTCAGCCTGGATAAGGACTTGCCTTGGAGAGATGGGCTAGAGAATACGTAGGGTCTCCAGTGTTTGAGCTGCAAGGCCATGGTTCTTAGAACTAGAACAGGGAAGAGAGGAAATAGTTTCCAAGGCTAGACCTAAATCAAAGCATGGAAAAGAGGCCAAGGGCCCTAGGCTAACATCTGCTGTCGGGTCAGAGTCAAACGACTCCGGCCCAAGCTCAGCAGCACTTGGTTCCGAGGAATGAAGGTGCCCCGCAGAAAACAGCAACACATACTGAAGGCTGGGTAGAGAGGAAATGCTCCTTTGCCGACCCAAAGGACATCACCCTCCTCAGTCAGATTAAGGTGCTTTAACTGGAGTCACGCCAGAGCGTCTTTCTAAAGGAGGAACGTTTCATGGTGAAAGATGCCCTTTTTTTTAGATTTTGCTCTAGAGTGTGTGCACTTGTCCGAGAGACAAAGTGAGGGAAAAAGAGAAATCACATCGTGGGAGATGGCCAAGCCCCAATCCCCTGTCTTCCGTTCTCCCCTTGGGATTCACCCACGTGCCCAGTGTTTTCCAAGCCACTGGGTACAGATTTAGCCAGAGTCAGCCACATAGGAACCAGCGCCTTAACCACCATGCCACCTGCTGGTCCATAAGGTACTTTTTAAGAAAAAAAAAATTTCATTTAACTTCCTTTCTTTCATTTACTTATTTTTAAATTTGATCAGAGAGGGACAGAGTGAGAGAGAGAGAAAAAAAAGAAAAGTGAGAAAGCAAGCCACCAGGTCCAGGACTCAAACTATGGTCAGCCATGTGGGAACCCAGCACCCTTAACCACCATGTCACCTGCCAGCCCCCAAAAAAGTACTTTTTAATGGCAATAAAAACGAGCAGGGCCAGGATGTAATGTGGTACTTAAAGTGGCTGGATCCCACACGGCCAACTGAGCCATTTTGAGTCCAGGACCAGGCATTTTTAGAAACATATTAGGTGGATGTGTGTGTGTGTCCAGAAACCCCTAAAGGAGGAAGACATGGTGCCTTCAGAAACATCATTTTCAAAGTTGCAATGTACTGTTTATCTGAAATACCGTATTGCGGGGACCAGCAGTTAGCCTAATAGCCATGTCACTGGACTCCCATGTAGTCAACCGCAGTTTGAGTCCCAGACCCGGTGGCATAAACTCACACCGGGCGCGTACAACTGCATGCCCAAGATCCTGAGAGGGGAATGGAAGAGAAGGGATTGCGGCATGGCCATCCCCCCCACCCCCCGGGGGGGGATTTCTCGCTTTCTGTCTGTCTTTCTGGCGAGCGCATGAACCCTATGGCAAAAAAAAACAACAAACAACAAAAACCAAAAACCAAACCTCTTCGAGAAAAGAAAAACAAAAAAATACCATGTCACAGCCAGGCCTTTTTTCTGTTTAGGGGCAGGGGCAGCTGTTCACGAGGCAGAGTGCTCCTGCAGGCGTCTGTTCCCACGTCAGAGGCCGAGGCTCCAGCTTTACAGGAGGCTGCTGGTGATCACTGCATGTCTGGGCAGCTCCTGATACTCAGGCTCAAAGAACAGGCCTTCATGGCAAAGGTCCCAGGGAGTCAGCCCCAGTCCTCCCTTCATAAGCGATTACAGCAGCACGGAGGAGTTGGCTTAAAAATGACACAGGCAATAAACAGGCTGCTGAAGCCAGGAGCAGCTGACCACGCCCTTTCTCAGGCCCTAGACACTAGCTCAGTCTCCTTGTCCCCTGTTCTCCACCTCTCATTGAGCAGAGTGCCAAGACAGAAAGTGTTTCCCCAACCGCCCCCATTTTCTCCTCCCAAAGGCCTTCCTTTCCCCAGGGCAAGCAATGCCCGCTCCTTCTGGCAGTGGTGTAGCTAAGCCCCGGGAAACACACACCAGAGGCACTTTGTTGAAGGTGGAATGTCTTGGAGCCCTGGTTCTAGTCTCTGGAAGGCCTCCAGACAACTTCATTATCTCCAGCCCCAATCTCTGCTCCTCCCACCAAGCCCCAGGCCCGGCTGGAGAGCCTCCTTTTCCTGTGTGGCAGCACACTCACTCCTCCAGCCTCCAGTCCTGGCCCCGCAGTCAACCCCACCCTGCTTCCACCCTGTTAATATTCAGAGAATGAGCAGAGTAGATATACCCACGCCACACCAGACTGCCAGAGAAAGAAGAGAACCACGGGGGTCAGAGTTGACTCCAGATCTGGAATGGAAGGTTTCCAGTGCATCCTGAGACCCGTGGTGTGGAATTGTTGAGAGACAGGAGACAAGAAAGAAAAGTCATACAAAATGAACACTCTTCCATTTGAAGGAGAAAGGGAAGCAAGAAAGTCCAGAGATGGGGGTTGGGGTTGTTTCCAGTTTCTTTGACCCAGAGAGGATCTGTATCAGTTCAGCTATGTCCTGTCTAGCCCTACAGTCAAATGCCTTCTTGGAAGAAAGAAAAAAAAAATCACTGAACTAACTCAATGATGCCTAGAGACAGCCAGAAACGGAACCCTTGAACGCAGCAGTCAGCGTTTTAAGAAGAGTGCTCTTTTCTGCCAAGGACACGGGTGAGGCGTCTCCTCCAACGCTGACTGGCAGATGCCTATGTAATCAGGACGGTGCGGTCCCTGACCAGCTGTCCTGCAGATAAGGACCACACAGCGTGGACAGGTTAGGGGACCTACAAGACCACCAGAGCACATCAGACTCAAGTCAGGAGCCCCCTTCTCCAGTGAGGACTCAGACCAGAGAGCCAAGCAGCCTCTGACTCCTGAGAGCCACAGAGTCCTGATAGTGCCGCGGGTGTGATGTCTGGGCCACACCTCCCAGATGTGCACAGTTGGCGCCTGCCCTCACGAGGTCTACAATCCCGTTCTTCCATCTTTCCCCCAAAGTGAAAGAAAACCAGGTAAGGCAGTCAACAAGACACATTAACATAATTTATTAAGTTCACCATACAAAGAACATGACACAGAAAAAACATGTCACAACTGGAGGGGACACGGAGATCATCTGGTCCAACCTGCCCTCATTTCCTGAATGAGGGAGTGCCTTTAGTCCCTGGACACCACGGACAAAGCCAGACACAAGCCCTGTCCTGATGCACAGAAACACACAGACATGAGGCTTCTGGCTGTGAGCCAGTGGAGCCTAAAGACCTAACTCGTTCACTGTTAATTGTTCTGTCTCCCACAGCACTGCACTCCAATGCTTATGTACTTGAGGCTGCAGGAAGGCCCGATAGAAAACAGGATGAGCTGCAGGGTCCGTCACAGCTGGGGGAAAGCCAGTTTGGGAGGAGAGGGGTTCCAAAGGTCAGGCAAGACCTCATCCTCATCCCCAAGAGTCCCGATGGCTGTCTTCCCCCGACACCACTGCCTCAGGAAAGGTGCACTTGTCTTCCAGAGGTACAGCTGGGAGAGGAGGGAAAAGAAGCAGGTAGAGCAAAGGGAGAAAGATTCCAAACGATGTCATTCTGAAATCAAGTCCAGTGGGGACACTGTTCCCAGTCTTGAGCAAACCCAATCACTGCAAGAAAGCTGTGGAACTTTGGTATTACATCAATTATGAGATGCAAGCAAACCCACCAATAACTTAGCAAAATAAATACGAAGGTTTGAGTGGAACTGATGGGATCCAGAGCAACAGTTTTTAGGCTCTGGATCAAGAAGAGTGAGGCGTGCCTTGTGCACATTAGGGGAAAACCTGAAGAGATACTGGGAGTTTTCACAGCAGAGAGAGATACACCTAACTGTCTGTGGCCCTAATCTTTCTACTACAAGCTACTCCCTGAATGTACATTCTTTTCTCCTCAGGAAGACAAGGCTGGCCAGTCAAAGGTGAGGTTCACTGACTCTGACCAGGCAGCCTGGCTGGCTGTCCGTGGGAGGCCCAGGTCAGCAGGGGCAGAGGGTGGAGTGAGTAGGAAAACAGTTTGTTGCTAAGAACTGAGCTGTGTTTGCAGAAGGAGCTTCATTCCCCCAGGACACTCTCCAGCCACTCTGAACTTTGGTGCCTCCAGCTTCTAGGGCTGAGGCAAGTCTTTTCACCTCTCCTGACCTTCTGGGGCAGCTGGAGTCCAGTCTGCAAGAGAAGGGAGACTCTGCTACAGAGAAAAAGAGTAATTATAGGAATAAAGATACTGCCCTGGCTCCTGCTGGCTGGATAAGTTCTTCCAAAGGGCTGCAGTGTCCAGAAGAGGTGCTAGTGCTCTGTCCACCCAGCTCACAGAGGCTAGACACCTGGGAACGGCAAGGCACCTGAGCCCAGGCCCGGGTGCAGCCGGGAAGCCAAGTCAGTGCTAACAGCCTACAGGGGCGGCGGGCTTCTTCGCAGGCGAGAGGCAGCAGCCACAGCAAGGTCCATCTCCTCGCGCTCATGTTTCCACCACTCGGATGAGAGGCATGGGCTTGGGGCTGGGGGGCTTGGATATCCTAACACTGAAAAGAAAGTGGGAAACACTGAGTGCTATGTGGTTGCCCCCACTTCTAGAACCTCCCTTCACGCCTGCCTCTGATTTACGCTACAGTGCTGGCTGATTTCTTGGGTTCCAAGTCCTTTGCAATGGAAACTGTCAGGGATAATCTAAGAGAAGATATGGTGAGTGATGCATCTGTCTGGTGGCAGGGTGAGGAAGCAGAGGGAGTTAAACAAACGGGAAGTGGATATAGCTGTGATTCTTGCCTTTTTCAAGGTTTTAGGCCCTTTTAAGATCTCTTAGAAGCAAAAGACCCTTTCCCTAGAGACACACAAATATTACACATACATATTTATACTATGCAAATTTATACTATGCAAATAATACAAGTAAACTTTGCTACAATTTCAGGAGGTTCATATATCTTTAGAATACAGGGGCCTACTTGAGTTCATGGTATCGGGTTCTGCTCTAACTAGGTCAGAACATGGTTGTGGTGGAGAATGGGTTAGGTTAGAGACTGAGAGCAAAGCTGGATTTAAAAGCCTTGTCCTTGCTGTGCACTACAGGTATCCCATGGCACTGGTCCCTCTCCTGCCTTCGTCCCAGCTGGGCCTACTCCAAACCCATTCACTCACCTGCCCAGGTTCTCTGTCTTGGCGCGGGTCTGGGTGCTGAAGTTGCCATGACTGATTTGTTTTTCTATCAGGTGTTCCATCCGGTCGTGCATCTCTAAATTCTGTAATGCAGGCAATAGGGTTACAACTGACCCTCTTCTGGCTTGCTGTGTGTCACATTTAGCAAGCTCATTCTGGTCTCTTCACCTCTGAGGTTTGTGTTGCTCCCACCCTACGAAGCATGTCACCACCCACCCAGATGCCCTCTCCCTGTCTTCATCACTCAACTG